CCCCCCCCCCGCCTGTTGCCGTGATTTGCATATTTTGCTACCCACCCACTCGCGCACTTTCAAAAAAGCTGTCCACGTGGCACCTGTCGCAGCGAGATCTTCGGAGTCCAGAGTAGCGGCGTATCTACAGCAATACAGCGGCGACACCGCAGTGCACTTCCCGCCAAAGACCTCCTGCGAGTCGCACGGTTTCACGGCGCCAACTGATGCTCCAGCCCAATAGCCAGGGTCATGGGAGCTACTTCGAGGCGTTCAAGCGTCGAAGCAATGTGACCCTCGACGCTGCACAGAGAGACAAAATGCTCACGGATCGAGGTGCTTATCTCAACTTCCTCGAGATTCAGCTTGAGAGAGTGTCGGCGGCATGCATCACGAGCCAGCACTTCGGAAGTAGAATTGACGCCGCCACTGCCAAGGCCACAGCCGCGGAAGAGAAGGTGTGGCGCTCATCAACTACGTGCAAAGAGATAACTATGGATGTGCGCAGTGTGCGGGCTACATAACGTCGACATTCACCTGGAGAGAGTATACAGCAGCATCACGGACAGCCTGCACCTGAAGCGTCGTTGTTGCCATGCGGGGCGAATGTTTTCTATACCTTGATCGATTTCGGAACGGGTAAGAAGTGCTAGCATCATCTCTCCCTCTCACACTCACAAGCATATCTCACCTACTGCATACGTATGGTACGTCCGATGTGAACGAAATGATACGTAGTTTTTTCTCCTCGATGTTGTTGCTGAACGTAGGTAATGAGCGCCACCAAGCTTGTCCGCCTGGCGCAGACGTACAGCGAAGAGCAGGGAAAGGAGCAAGGGAGGATCAATGACGCCATGGAAATACGGCTCGAGAGCCTGGAGCAACAGATCGACGCCGTAAGCGCCGCCGTGGACGACGCTGCTATGGCACAATCTAACGATTTAAACGTCGGTACCTGTATGGGCGATGATGGTATTACCTCCGCCAGACACCCCCCCGTCTATCCGCCGGGCCTTCATGAAATCAACACGGCCGGTCTCTCAGAGTGGATGACAGGAGTAGATAAGCAACTAGAAGATCTGCGGAATCTCGTCTCCGCCCAGATTACAACAGGCAGTGGCAGCAGCAGCGGCGAAGGAGGGGGAGACGGCGGGTCGAAGGCTGCAGCAGCAATTGGTAGCTCGCCGCGGTCGGAGGATGACATGGAGGAGGCAACAGCAGTCCCAGAGACCAAAACGGCAGCGGCAGCGACCGCAAGGGATGAGTGCGCTAGAATCGAAGAACGTGTACGTCGTCTTGAAGAGGCTATAGGAGAGACGAGCCCGGGCGCGGGGCACAGCGGCGGAGACTCTTCGCTGCTGTCGCCGGCTACAACAGTGGTCGACCAACACGACCGTGGCCGTCGTCTAGAGCGCTGTGCCGAGCTTGCCCGCGAAGGGCTTACCCGCAGTCGCAGTGCAAGCCGCAGTCCGGTCCGTCGCAGCCCGTCCGCACCACCACCGGCGACGGAGATCGTGGCGGCGCCTCTTGCCAGCGATGCTGGCACTCTAACGGTGGAAGCCGGCAAAGATGCCTTGCTGGGAGCCGTGGAAGATGGTGCCGCTGTTGCGCGGAGGGCCAGCGAGGTGGCGGAAGAGGCACTCAAAGCTGGGAGAGAGGCGATCGAGCGGTCCGAGAGGACCGGTGAGCAGACTGATTCCGGCGGGGTATGGCATTCCTCTTTGGATCGATGACTGTCGTGAGTTTCGGAACGATATCACTATCCTTGTTGAAGACTTACGACTATATCGCGCGGGTACTTTGGAGCGACATAAGTTGGTCCGGAGACGGTTTCTTGTAGTATCAAGCAGCTGCTTGATAGATGGTCTTGGTTCTCAATAGCAGGACGTTACGCCCGAAGGGTCCCTTCCAGTTAGAGTTCGTGGTAAGGACAGCAATGCGTGCGGCCTCTGTGCAGCAGCCCCCCCCCCCCCCCC